GGAAACAGAATCTCATTCTATCCCCCAAGCTGGAGTGCAGTGGCATGATCTCGGCTCACTGCAACCTCTGCCTACCAGGTTGAAGCAATTCTCATGTCTTGGCCTCCTGAGTAGCTGAGATCACAGGCGCCCACCACCACACCTGGCTAATTTTTTGTATTTTTAGTAGAGACGGGATTTTGCCATGTTGGCCAGGCTGATCTTGAACTCCTGACATAGGTGATCCTCCCGCCTCCGCCTCCCAAAGTGCCGGGATTATAAGTGTGAGCCACTGTGCCCAGCTTCTCTAGCATTCTTAAATAGACTAAGGAAAAATGTCATTTGTCACCACTGTCTGTACTGTTATGCCCCGACAATAATGTACATGTGTACCCACTTTGCATTAACTAATTGGGATATATCTGGATTCGATAGAATCAACAAAGTTAAAGACTTACTTCGTAGAATGGAGGAATGGCAAATGGATGTTAATCCCACTAGCTGTCTCTTAACCTCTTCATATCTTTCTAATTCCATACTCCAGACAAATGTTGCATCCTACAGTGTTCCTTTTACCTTAAGTGACAATAGATACAGTCAATAGCACCACCTAGCACTTTTAAGAAAGATCATCCTAAGTGTCCTGTTTTATGACTTGCAAATCTTCTATCAGTCTAACAGAGGCATTTCAGTAGAGAAGCTTTTAGAGCTTGTGATAGATTAACTTTTCACTGTTATTTCAGTGAATGAGAGTAAAAATCGGACTTTCACAGTTGTCCAGGGTGCAATAACTAAATCGAATTTACATACATATATATATCTTTATATATAAACTTCCCAATTTTAGAGGGGGGAAATATCCTAAAGTCAGGGAAATGTTTGAAAACCATCAAACTGTCATAACAGTTGGATTGCTAACATTTACAAGATGGTATAAGATAATACAATCAGAAATAAGCATTTTCTGGCTGGGCATGGTGGCTCATGCCTATAATCCCAGCACTTTGGGGGGCTGAGGCAGCTGGATCACCTGAAGTCGGGAGTGCGAGACCAGCCTGGTGAAATCCTGTCTCTACTAAAAATACAAAAATTAGCTGGACATGATGGCATGCACCTCTAGTCCTAGCTACTCAAGAAGCTGAGGTATGAGAATGGCTTGAACCTGGGAGGTAGAGGTTGCTGTAAGCTGAGATTGCACCACACTGCACACCAGCCTGGGTGACAGAGCAAGACTCTGTTTCAAAAAAACAAACAAAATAAAAAACAAAAATAAGCAGTTGGGGGAGTGAAAATTCTTAATCTAGTCCTGACTTATGTTCTTAAAGCGTTCTTTTCAAGACCTACACGTGTTTGTCAGTGCTTCAAATTCTGTGCACTTAAAGCATGAGAATAAACGTTTTGGTAGGGTCTTAGGAATTACAATCTAGAGTGGTGAGTTAGGGTGTTTTGGATAAAAATAGATTAATTTGTAAGAAGTAAAACTTCACTGAAATGTGTTTCTTTTTATTAGGTTTAAGTGGAAACCCTGCAGATTTAGAAAGAAGAGAAGCAGTGTTTGGAAAGAATTTTATACCTCCTAAAAAGCCAAAAACCTTTCTTCAATTAGTATGGGAAGCATTACAAGATGTCACTTTAATTATATTAGAAATTGCAGCCATAGTATCATTGGGCCTTTCTTTTTATCAGCCTCCAGAAGGGGATAATGCACGTAAGTAAATGGGGGTGGGGCAGGGTGGGGAAGACATGTCTGATGCTAGTTCAGCTAATTCATTTAGTTAATGCATAATAATAATAGCTGGCTAGCATTTATTGATGTTTGCTATGTTCTAGGCACTGTTCTAAGTATTTTAAGTACATTATCTCAGATAATTTTCACAGTAACCCTATGAATTAGATTGTGTCACCTCCCTTTTACATTGAGGCACAGAGGTTAAATAACCTATCCAGTATATGCTGACTATGTGTCTGATGCAGACCTATGCCATGTATATGACATGGTCTTTGCTATCACAGTTTTTCAGTTTTTTAGAATACTATACTATGAAACAATTTCAGTTTTTAAGTTTTGGTTTATTCAGAAAATGTCATTATGAAAATGAAATTCTGTTCTCTTCCCAAATTCATTATTTTTCAAGATCTTAAAATGTTTTGCTATATATACCATTTGGGTAATTTCCTTGTCATTATAGAAAATTTCCTGCCATTATACTATGGGTTGAACATCCCTAATATGAAAATCCAAAATGCTTTGAAATTCAAAATTTTTGAGTGCCTGCATGATGCTACAAGTGGAAAAATTCCACATATAAGTAGTTACCACAAATTTTGTCTCATATACAAGATTATTTTTTAAATATTATATGAAATTACCTTTAGGCTATGTGTATATGGTATATATGAAACATAAATTCATATTTAGACTTGGGTTTCATCCCCAAGATATTTCATTTTATATATATGCAGATATTCTCAAATCTGAAAAAAATTAAAACATTTTTGGTTCCAAGCATTTCAGATAAGGAATACTCAACCTATCCAGAGTTTCCTGACCAACAGAAATAGATTTATAGAGTGGTTGATTTGCTTTAACTTGTAGCTACAAATGTTTTTTTCTCCCATTTTCTCTTTTAAGTTTCTTCTTCTGCCTTTTAAAAAATTTATTTAAAATTAATAGTTCTGCTGGTAGATTCTTTAACTGGTAGGAAATCTAGCATATGTTTTGGTTTCTATATAATAGTAGCTATAATACAAAATAAACCAATAGTATTTTACATGTCAAAAGGTTAATTCACCAAAATATTTTTGTTTGTGAAAGCTTCATTTCTGTAACTTTCGAGTTGTGAAGAGATATTTGCTAACTCTAAAAGTTGGGTAAGGTGATTATGTTAGTCCCTTTGCATTGCTGTGTAAGAATACAGGCTGGGCGCGGCGGCTCCCACCTGTTATTACAGCACTTTGCGGGGCTGAGGTGGGTGGATCATGAGGTCAAGAGATCAAGATCACCCTGGCCAACATGGTGAAACCCTGTTTCTACTAAAAATACAAAAATTGGCTGGGCCTGGTGGCACGCACCTGTAGTCCTAGCTACTCAGGAGGCTGAGGCAGGAGAATCGCTTGAACCTGGGAGGCAGAGGTTTCAGTGAGCTGAGATCACACCACTGCATTCCATCCTGGCGACAGAGCAAGATTCCATCTCAAAAAAAAAAAAAAAAAAAAGATACCTGAGACTGGCTAACTTACAAGAAAAGATTCTGCAGGCTGTACAGGGGCCAGACTTTTTAAAGAACCAGCTCTTATGTGAACTCCTCACCATGGGGAGGGCACCAAGCCATTCATGGGGGATCCACCCCCATGTTCCAAACACCTCCCACTAGGCCCTGCTTTCAACACTAGGGATCATATTTCAGCATGAGATGTGGAGGGGACAAACATCCAAACTCTATCAATAATCATGTAATTATTTAAAAGATGGACTTGGGCTCATGTAAGGACTGTATTCTTTTTCTTTAAAGAAATTTGGACACAGCATAAACCAGTTTATCCAAGACTAGTGTATATCATGGTTTCTCACCAGCAGCATGACTGCCATTTTGAGCAACAAAATTCTTTGTCATCATATTCATCGTCACCCCACCCCCCGTGAGGCAACCAAAAACATCTCCAGACTTTGTCGTGTGTCCCATAGTGGGCAAAGTTGCCTCTGGTTGAAAATCACTATAAAGGATTTAAACAATATTTTTTTCAGTGTTGAGATAAATTACTTTTGAAACATAATTTATTAAATAAGTAGTATGGATTTTACTGTTTAAAAAAATAAGGGGTGAGTGAAGACAGTCCAGAAGAAATAACATTCACTGGAAATCCCACTTCTTAGAGATTCCTGCTATACCCTTTTATCCTTTAAGATTTTTAAGTATGTTTCATGTGTCTATGAGCACTCATATGTAAATGTATGATGGTGTGTAGATGTATGTGATTATCTGAAAAGAGTGGTTCTATCATCTTAACATACAGCTGAATTTTTTCAGTTTTCCACCTACCTAGCTGTCACTATAGAATATTGGGAATTAGTTTTCTGGAATTGAGTTAGCAGATTATTAAAAGATTTTTACTTGGAACATTTTAATTTTCTTAGAAAACAAAAGAAAAATATTTTTAAGAAGTGGAGTTTATTACCAGCAAGTTCTGGGACAAAGCTTTTTGGAATTCAAACTGCTTCCTTTGTGAAATGTAGTGACAAGTCCTTTGCTAAATTTGTTAAAGGAGATACAGGTATTAAAATCCAACTGAGAAGACAATCTAGAGCTGTCAGTGTTCTAAGGCCCTTTTAAGAGTCAGAGTTCACCAGAAGTTCTTAATGAAACATATAAAGATTTTTTCTCCATAGTGAAAAGTTATTTAGTATTCACTTATACATGTACACAAACACACACACACACATACATACATACATAATACATACACACATATTTATATATATAGAGAGAGAGAGAGACAGAGTCTCACTCTGTCACCCAGGCTGAAGTGCAGTGGCACTATCTCGGCTCGTTGTAACCTCCATCTCCCAGGTTCAAGCAGTTTTGCTGCCTCAGCCTCCTTAGTAGCTGGGACTACAGGCATGCACCACCATGCCTGGCTAATTTTTGTATTTTTCATAGAGACAGGGTTTCACCGTGTTGGCCAGTCTGGTCTCAAATTCCTGACCTCAGGTGATCTGCCCACCTCAGCCTCCCAAAGTGCTCGGATTACAGGCGTGAGCCATCGTACCCAGGCTTGCATTTTAAAAAATCATTTGTTAATACACTACATGTATCTTTTTGTTATGTTCTATCTCAACACTGAGGTATGGTAACTTGCTTAAAAGGAATCTGTAAATCTGCAGGCATAGAAATCTGATCAAAATTTCTTACTAATATTATTTGATGTGAACATATATGCTATAGCCCAAACCATAAATAAGTCTTTAGTTACTGATATCTGCATAACAGAGATTCTCAAACTTTCTGGTATCAAAACCTCTTTAAGCTCTTGGAGTAATGAGAGCTCCAAAGAGGTTTTGATTATATGACTTTTTTCCCATAAATGTTTATTATATTTTAAATTAAAATGGAAAAATTTTTTAATATTTATCAATGTGTTCTCACCACAAAAGTAACTATATGAGGTGATGGATATGTTAACTGATTGTGGTAATTTTTTCACAGTGTATACCTATATCAAAATACTTTGTTGTATACCCTAAATGTATGCAGTTTCATCAGTCATACTGCAGTAAAGGTGGACAAAATATATATCAATGCATTTTAAGATAATAATCTATTCATATTCACATAGATAGCATTTTGATGAAAACTGTTCCCCCCAATAATGAAATTTTAAGTGAAATAATGTAGAGTGGTGTCATACCTCTTTAATGCCCAGCTTAATTGAAGGCAGCAGGGTTCTCATATCTGCTTGTGTATTTAATATGTCACATTATCACATGTGATGTAATATTTAGAAAATTCTGTTATTCATTAATGAAATATGAGGCCAATAATTATGTCTTCAAATTATGAAAATAGGAATCCCCCTCAGGTTTCACAATAGCACTTTGAAAACTACTTCTCTATACTATTAATGTACACACTTGATACATCACCCAAGAAATAGCTCAACTAGGAGGTTTTAAAATGGAATATTTGGCTTGCGGTAGAGTACTGACTGAATTTAGATTGTGTATGTCTCTCAGTTGAATATATTTACATCTTTGATAATACAGATTTTTATTATATTTTAGCTTGGACTTTACTGAAAATGTTTAAATCTTTATATATTTATACATATATAACTGTAAGCTATAGTCATTTTGTAACTTTGATCATTTTTCCCCCATAACTCCTCTAAAAATTTGTAATCATTGTCAATAGGAAAGGATTTATATTTTTTACTATTTCAAGACTATTTTGGGCTTGTCTGTATGATGTAGAATAGAACTGTGTATGATATATGTCATTAATTTGTTTCAAGTTCTCTTTTGAAATAGTAGTTTAGTGATGAATAAAAATGTCAGATTTAGAGCTGAAAATTGTGTAATTGTCTATAATTTTTTTCCCCTCCTTAACCTCTGTTGCATTGGTCTTTAAACTTTTTTGGTTATTTATGCTTTCAGGAAAAAAAGTGCATGTAATTCCAAATGATGCATTTATTAATTATATTTATAACTATATATAATTTGTATATTTTAAGCTTATATAAAAAATAGAAGTTGAAAGTAAAAGACAAAGCTGGACACAGTGGCCCACACCTATTATCCCAGTACTTTGAGAGGCTGAGGTGGGAGGATCACTTAAAGCCAGGAGTTCAAGGCCAGCCTGGGCAACATGGCAAGATGCCATCTCTATAAAAAAAATTTTAAACGAGCTGGCATGGTAACATTCACCTTATGGTCTAAGCTACTTGGGAAGCTGAGGTGGGAGGATTGCTTGAGGCTGGGCGGTTGAGGGTTGAGGCTGCAGTGAGCCACATTGGCACCACAGCACTCCACCCTGAGCAACAGAGACTCTGTCTCAAAAAATAAATAAATAAATAAAATTTAACATTTGCTTTTTTCTTGTAGCCATAAAACATTATTGTTAACCTGATATAGGTCTAAGTTTGATTAATTTCAGAACTTGGTTTTAATGTCTCATAGCTGAAAAGAAACACACATTATATAAATCCAAGTGGGAAAATTGTAGTTATTAAATCATACTCATTTTCATGATCCCTACCCATCAGTTATGCAAAGGAATTTGTTGAAATATGACTGGTAAATTTCATTGTCTGATGTCAATCTGTTGTTTTTGCAAGCTGTTATAAAGTATTGCATTTTTTGTGTCATAAATGACATCAAAACCCAGTGAAATGCTTCACTTGGATAATATGTTAGCTGTGTTTCCAAGTTGGTGAAAGTGGTCAGCATGGTGTTTCAACTGTCATCTGATCCTGAGTCTAAACTTGCTCTCATTCAGAGTTAATCTCCTGTCTTCTGGCTAGTGAGGAGAGTCATTCTTACAGCTTTGACTGTTAAACAGCATGTAAATCATAAAATCACTTAACTGGCTATTAAACACAGTGACACATGGTGATTTATTGAGCTTGAAAATAATTAAAATAGAAATTCTGGTATTTGGGTTGGAGTAGGTTCTGTTGGATTATCCTACTTCTTCCTCACATTGATGGTTGAATCCTGCTGGTGGTTCTCAGGATATTTTTTGTTAACTGTTTTTGTAACTGTTATATTTCATTCCCAATTGATCTTAATTCATTGCCTGTCTTCCCTCCCAGATTGCTTTTTAGTCAGCGCCCTCACACCTCAGATTTTTTTTTCTTCAATCTGTGCTGACCATGCTTGAACACGCTTTAATCATTTCTGGTGTCATTTATTTACTCATTTTTTTCTAAATAATCCTCCTGTTTTGTCTGTTTTAAGAGAACCAGTGGCTTTCAGACATTTCACTTCAACTGAAAAAGAAATAACTTCACGTAGCAACCCAGAAGCCCATATTCCTTCCTGTGAATTTATAAGTAATCAACGTTTTAGGAAATAACACTTATCCTTACTATATATCTGTCCTTTCTATTTTGTTTTGTTTCGTTTTTCAGAATGCTGGTCATGAGCCACTGAATTGATTTTGGACTTACAACTAGATTACAGCCTGAAGTCAAAAACCACTGTTCTATTGTTCTTCACCATTATTGACTATACAGTTTTGGATCTGTTCTCCCCACCCCCATCCTTTTCTGATCTCTCTGCTGCCCTAGGGCATTTGTACTGACTTTACACTCTACCTGTATTTTTTTTTCCTTAGATTTATATGGCTGGTTCTCTACCAACATTTGGTTTGTAGCTCAAATGTCATGGATACCTCAGAGGGGCCTTCTCTGCTCACTCAACCTCAATTATCCTTCTGTCTTCATTTAATAGCACTTCACTGTTTAATTTTCTCCACGGCACTTTTTGATAAGTGAAATTAATTATTTGTGTATCATTATCTGAATTCTTCATACACCATCCCCAGTATGAGTATGGATTCCATGAGGAGAGGGAGCTTGTGTGTCTTATTCACTACTGTATTTCTAACTCCTAAAATGGTATCTGTCAGCCAGCATGGGCTCAAATAGTTGGAATAACAAGTAGCACTTTGCTTAACTTTTCATGTTATAAAAGCCAAGCTTTGATCACAGTTCAGTAAAAAATGACATAGTAAATATTCATGTGTTTCACATAATACTATTCACGTATATCTTGTCTGTCATATGTAACAATATCGTTAACCCTTGGTTGAGTGTGAAGAAAGCCTTAGCCAGTTCTACACCTACTTTACAGGTATCCTCACATTTAATCCTCACAATAACTCTGAAATAGGTAGTGGTATCATAATTTGACAGATGAAGAAACCAGGTATCAAAAATAATAACTTCCCTTAGGACTGATATTTTATTTCCTTCAGTGTCCTTACTCTTAACTACCTAGACTTCCTCCATCTCCTGAGATTGAGAATCTCAGAGGCAGAGAACTTAAAAGTGACATAGTAAGAGTTCTTGTGGAATACTTTGAATTTAATAAAGTAGTTATTGCTGTATGTACAATTGATAAACATAATTAACACAAAAATATGATTTAGACTTATATATATGTTGTCATCAATTCAGAATCTTGTTTTGATAAGCATTTTCTTTCTTTCCAAATAGTTTGTGGAGAAGTTTCTGTTGGGGAGGAAGAAGGTGAAGGTGAAACTGGTTGGATTGAAGGAGCTGCAATCCTCTTATCTGTAGTGTGTGTGGTGTTAGTAACAGCTTTCAATGACTGGAGTAAGGAAAAACAGTTTAGAGGTTTGCAGAGCCGAATTGAACAAGAACAGAAGTTCACTGTCATCAGGGGTGGTCAGGTCATTCAGATACCTGTAGCTGACATTACTGTTGGAGATATTGCTCAAGTGAAATATGGTAAGTAAAAAGAGCAATACATCTGACACTAAACATAAAATTACTGTAATCCTGTTTATAGTTTAGTATATCATTGCTTTTTATTTTAGGTGATCTTCTTCCAGCTGACGGCATACTTATTCAAGGCAACGATCTTAAAATTGATGAAAGCTCTTTGACTGGTGAATCAGATCATGTTAAAAAGTCTTTAGATAAGGATCCCTTACTTCTATCAGGTACAAATTTCTTTTATATCTTTGAACACTTTCCTCTTCCACAACTGTGTACCATTGCCAGCAAGCACCATTTTCCTAAAAGTCAATAATATAAAGAGGAATCTGTATTTTATGTTACCTTCTACTGTTGTAATCATTGGTGACTTTTTTTTTTTTTTTTTGTAAACTGACAAAAACATTAGAAATCTTTGAATGCAGAGCTGTATTTTACAAATGAGAGAGCGGAGTCCAACAAATCAAGAGATTTGAGATTCAGTGTTCGTGCTAGTATAATGATAAAACCGAAATAGAGGCCTAATGATATCTATTGAGTTGGTCTGTTATTTTGTATCATGACTATTCTTAATGCCTACTGAAGTATAAAGGAATGATTTTATGTTTAAAGCAAATTAATGAATTCTCTGTGATCTACAAAGGACAGGTTATTTTTTCTTAAGAACTAGTAAAATCCTTAAAGTTTACCTAATCCAACTCCTTCATCTAACTGCTAAAGAATTAGTTTGAGACCTAAACTATCTAGTATTATATGACTAACCAACAATAGATCTAACAGTCATACCTCCATCTAGTCAGAATTGAATTTGCACATGCTTAGAATATGTTCTGGGATCGAAGAAGGGAAGGATACGTGAGGATACTGTTTGAAATGGAGATGACTACATGGGAGGCTCTTGTAATAACCTGATTGTGATAGCCTGGAGTAAGCTGAAGTAAGTAGATATGAAATGGAAAGGATGGAGAGAAAAATTACAAGTTTTCTTCCAAAACTGCATGAGAGGAAACCACAGTATCACAAATTCCCCCAAAATCATGTTCTTTTAACTGTTAGGTTCTAAGGTTCCTATTCTTAATTTCCCAGTATTCTTTATGGAATTTATGAAATTGCCTATCAGAACTGTACTTGTTAGATTGAATTTATACTAGAGTTTTGGGAAAGTTAAATGTAGCCTGTGTTCTATCATTATCAGATGTTGATAGATTGCCAACATTTCATACATTGTCATACGATTGCTGCTGAAACCAGAGTCAAACCTGTGATATTGCAAGGGTCAATTAAGCTAGAATCACAACTTTAGAGCAAAACTTGTTTAACCATAACTTTTTAAGATTTATATACGTGCGCCAAAAGAAGCTTATTGTAAAGAACCATACACATTTATACTGGCCAGAAAATCTTACTGCAAAAAATCAGAGTAATTACATTTATAAACACCATTAGAAATAGGATAAAAATTCCAATTGTAATATAGACTTAGGTTTCATCAAAAAAATTTTGAGATGCATATACCTTCAGTATCCTGTGCCACTTAGAACATTCACACTCTGAACATTCACACTCTGTTTGGATTTTTCTTTGTATTGGTGTGCTTGTAATCCATACCAAATAGCCAGAAAGATCTTGGATTTATAAGTATAATGTATTTAAGTATAATGTGTTAACTCATTCTACTTCCCTTACCATGTTTCTAAGAAACTGTAGTTAATGTTAACCAAATAAAATCTATAATTTTTCCAAAAGAGAGGGAAGCTATCTAATCGTACTTACCATCACAGGTTAACGAGACCACAATGTATAACAAACTAAGATAGTCTCCTGTTTGCTATGTATACTGCATGGACTTTTATGTACATCTCACTTGTTTACATAGTGCTTAGCTCTTCAGGTTGATTTTCTTTAACTGGACTTTGGTCCTTTTCTGTTTTAACAGAGATGACTGGTAAGCTTTATGTAGACTCAGGTTCCTAACACACCAAGTATACGAGGAGAACTCTATATAAATTTTCCACATTTAAGAAAAGGCTGAAATAACTTTGTAGAGTCCCTTATCGCAGTATGGGTGGGAAAGTTTTTCTGCATTTATTTCCCCATTCCAAAAATGTAGTAAAAAACATGACATGCATTTATTTTTAAATGTACTCTCATGATGCCATCTCTGACTGCTGTTCTTGGCTTCTTAAGTTTAGATTTTTAAAAGCAGTATTCTGGTGGGGATGTGACCAAGACTAAAAACTGTTTACTTTGCCTGAGCACATTCACTGCCGACATCTGATTACCTGTGGTAAGGCAAAATAGAACCTAAAAAATCAGAGTCTGGAGAAAACCAGAATTGTTAAAAGAAATAAATTGTCTGTTATACATAGTATAACAGTAAATACAGTACTCAGTAAATACTGTTTCACTATCTTGAATTATATTTCTTGTTTTCCCTGCACTTTAATGGCAAAGCTAATAACTAGTGTCCCTCATACTTTAGGTTACAATTAATAATAATGAGCATTCATTGAACCCCCACAAATTCCAGGCAGTGTGCTAAATTCTTTACATTTATAGGCTTATATGAGAAATGTAAATCTCATTATATTTCTATGAAGTGTACAGACAGGGAACTGAGTTGTTACAATTTACTCAATATTACATGGTAAGCAAGTAGTAGATTGAGCTTCGAACTTGGATATGATTGATTAGAGTTAAAACCTTAAGCAAAAGAATTTAAGTTTTATTTAATGTCTTACTAAATTTATCTTATTAGTCCAGACATGGTGGTTCATGTATGTAATCCCCCCACTTTGGGTGGCCAAGACGGAGGATTGCTTGAGCCCAGGAGTTTGAGACCAGCCTGAGCAACATAGTGAGACCTTATCTCTACCAAAAAAAAATTTTTTTTAATTAGCAGAGTGGAACAGGCACAGTGGCTCACACCTGTAATCCCAGCATTTTGGGAGGCCAAGGTGCATGGATCACGAGGTCAAGAGATCTACATCGCCCTGGCCAACATGGTGAAACTCCTTCTTTACTAAAAATACAAAAACTAGCTGAACGTGTTGGTTTGCGCCTGTAGTTCCAGCTACTCGGGAGGCTGAGGCAGGAGAATCGCTTGAACCTGGGAGGCGGAGGTTGCATTGAGCTGAGATCGCACCACTGCATTCCAGCCTGGCAACAGAGCAGGAGTCCATCTCAAAAAATAAATAAATAATTAAAGGCAGAGTGTAGTGGTGTGTACCTGTGGTCACAGCTACTCAGGAGGGTGACAAAGGAGATTACTTTAGCCTAGGAGATCCAGGCTATAGCAAGCCATATTCACACCATTGCACTCCAGCCTGAGTGACAGACCAAAACCCTATCTTTAAAAAAAAAAATTATTGTCTTAAATGTTGAGGATGTTAAAAACAATAATTACTGAAGTTTGAAATTTGGTGGTAGCAGGGAAATCTATTAGAATTTTTAAAAACAAACTGTTTTTGGTTATAGGTACTCATGTAATGGAAGGCTCTGGAAGAATGGTGGTTACAGCTGTAGGTGTAAATTCTCAAACTGGAATTATCTTTACCTTACTTGGAGCTGGAGGTGAAGAGGAAGAGAAGAAAGATGAGAAGAAAAAGGAGAAGAAAAGTAAGAATAATAATTTTCTATAATTGGTGTTTGGAAATATGGCAAATAATTTATAAGAATTAGTACCTTCTTTTTCAAGAGATTCTGATATGAAAAATTCTATAAAAAGTTAAAAGATTTTTCTTTTAGATTTAATAGCCCATTAAGGGCCTTTAGAAAATGCATCAGTCCCCTTTACCATGGCCAGAGAAGTGCAGCATCTACTTGAATCCTTCCACTGGCATTTGTCCGTTTATTCTCTAGGTGTAGAATCTCCCGTCATCTGATCAGCAAAGTGAATTGAACTCTCACTTCCTATTTGCTAATTTTTTCTGTTCCTTCAGCAGTAGCTTTATCAGCCACATTATATCTTAGTTTCAATGAGCTTTTAATCTTCAACTATTCACATTTTCAATCTATACTTAATGTGCTTGGTTTTTGAACACAAGACTAGGACTTTGTTTTGACACCTTACATTTCTCTTTTTATATTCAGCCCATCATTAGATATCAAAATCTTTTTAAAATTTTGCTGTTATATCTACTGTCTCTCCAAATGTTCTGTTAACAGCAAACATGATAATCATACCATTTATCCACAAGGATCTTACAAGAAACTGTTATATGCAAGAGACATCTCAGAATCTCCTAGTTAGGGGCACACCTACTTTTAAAAAGCCTTCTCCACCCTGCTTCTGAGTATCTGCTGTACCATCCTTCCCTCCCACTCAGGATCACCCCTCTTTACCCTTTAGGCTGACAACCTTTTTACTGTGGTTTAGCCACTTAGATTTATTTAATGTTATTTAGGATAGTAAAACCATATTGTTTCTTACATGAATATTTTGAAACATTCTAAAATAACTGCCTTGCTAAAATCTTAGATTGCTGTAACTACAGCAGTGTTTTTAATATTTGAGTGGTTTGTATTGTTTTTTGAGTTTTACTGTTAGCAATAAGGTCTCTATTTGAAACAAAAATGTATGTGAAAAGTTCTGCAGGCAGATGCAGGTGGCAAGCTCCACATTCTAGGTTTTTTTCTGTGCCCTCCTTGAAGCTCTCAGTGTGCTTCCGTGTTGTTTTTTAAGGCTGAATAGAATGCAGTTTTGAGACCAGCACAGTAATGAGTCCATTTATTGAGTGTTTTGCGTGTGCTACCTCACTAATCCTCATAACTGTACAAAGTAAAGACTATTATTATTTTTTATTCATGAGTAAACTGAGCTTATGAAGATTATGTAATTTGCTCCAGATCAGAGTACTAGTAAGTGGCAGGTCACACCATCTGGATCAAGAGTCTACCTTTCTATACTGTGCTGCATCCCAATACACAGGAGATGAAAGTCATTGGACACTGAAGGGCAGTTTGCATCATCACTTTATTCCACAGTATCTTTTCTAGTAAGCGCCTTTTCTCCCTGA